TCCCCCGGGCTGGCCCTTCTCCTTGTCATTTCAAATACTGTTTAGATTGATGGGTTATGAATGGGAGGAGGTGGTCTTCCATCGGGATCATGTGGGGCCACTCTGTCCTGCCCCACTCAGTCACCCTTGATCATGGCGACTCATCACTGTTGCAGCAGATGCTAGGACAGCCCCTGGGGGAGGAGACGCCAGGCAGATGTGCACTGGCCAGCATCCTCACTTGCCTGAACTTGATCAGAGGTTCCATCTTGGTCAGAGTCCTGCTTCACAGTCCAGAATTCAGTCTCCTCAACATGTTACCACTTAAAGATACAACTATCCAAAAAAAAAAGAAGTTTGACATCTTAAGCATTCAGTGTTGAAATTCTGTAAGAAAGGAATTTTTGAACACTTAAAATAATTGCTGAGTCTCAGACTTCTGAAGATAAATATGGGCTGCTTTTTGAGTTGTCTCTCAGAGTTTGGTACAGAGCTCTCTTTTGATACGGTGGTGAAGATAGTGTCATGTTTCCCTTGTTGCTGTGACTGCCAGGAAACCCTTGCTTAAATGGTATCCCTGCTCCAGATCTCAGTTCTGGCTCCCAGGGCAAGTCTCTCTTGATGTCATTTCTGATGTCTTGTTTTTCTTGCACTGTGCACGACTTTGTGTTTTTTTATGGTGACCCCCTTGAGTAATGCCAAGTGTATGTGTGTGCTGTACTTGCTCAGTTGTTTGGACCAGTGGGGTTTGGACCAGCCTTTAGGGCATAGATGTGGGCTTGTGTTCAGTGCAGCACAGTCCCTTGGTCTGACCTCCTCTGAGAAATGGCCCCACTCGTTCATGGGGTTGTTGCAAAGACTGGTAAGCCGTGTGGCAAGTCATTTGTTGAATGGTGGCAGTGGCTGATTCTTCTTGTCCCCAAGCTGGGTGCCTGGAGTCCAGAGGCCTGTGTGTCTTGGGCAGCCTTTCAGAGGCCAGGCCCACCTCTGTCTGTAGGAAAAGGAAGCTGAATCCTGAGCTGCACTCTGCCAGTGTGCAGCAGTCCCCCTGCCCAGTTCCCTGGGGCTACCTGGGGTCCAGGCCTCTTGTGACCCACACATCCTTCCATGGATTGGGCAAGAGTGTGTGTTTTGCTGTGATCACAGTGGCATTAAAATGTAGTTATATTCCCTAGTACTTGATTGGTCATCCCAAGTGTAACAGGGAGATGGTCCTGGTGGTGGCTGCTGGTGGTCCAGTCATCCTCCCTCCCCTGGGCTGTGACCCCGGCCCCCAGCCCCAGCTATGTGTTGAGGGCTGCGCCGTTTCGCCCTGCACATGGCCCTCCTCACTGCACTGGCTGCTGCTGCCCCTTTCTAGGGCATTCCATACACAGCCCCTGCGGTGGCTGCCCACGTGAGCCCCATCCTCTGCTGGGCAGGGTCAGGGACTGTTAAGGAATTCCATGTCTCTGAGGATGTTTTTCATGTCTTCAAAGAGTACCTAAGTCTGCACCAGAGAAACTTGGAACTCTTGAGAACCCCACTTCCGGCTTTTAAGGGACTATTCTTGGAGGGAACAGTCCTGGAATTTGGCGTTGTTTTTTATTCTGGTTTGTTGTGAGAAATCCAGTACTTACCCAGCACCTAAAATAGGATTTTTACTGAGCTGTTGTCTGGTCTAGTGCAGAGCGCTCTGTGCACATTGCTGTCACCTCCCCCAGTGCCCTTCTGCCTTCCACCCTGCAGGTTACTGGTTCCTCTGGGACTAGGGTGGGGGGGATTGGCTGTGCCTTCCCGCCCGGCTGTCCTGCCCCACCCGCAGCTCTGGCAAATGCTTCTTCTTGTCCTTCCTTTCCCCTGAATTGCCAGTGTCAGTGACCGTGTTTGTGTGGCTGTCCCCAGCCAGAGTGTAACTCCATAAAGGAGGGGCTGTTATTTCTCTCTTGACAGGAAGGACCCTAAGCGATGTGACCCCACTTTGGAGTAGGCCTCCTGTGCGCTGGCATTTGTAGATGCTTCTCTGCCAGGTGGGCACCGGAGGCCTGACCCCAGAAGCAGGGCAGTGGCTGTGGCGTTCTCAGGGGCCATTCTTCTGTTGGCAGCACCCCCGGGTACCGTCAGGACAGGCTGCATGTTGCTCTACATGCAGTGCTGGCGACACAGTGCTGCCCATCAGAACTGGTAGACCAGATGCTGCTGCAGAGTCACACCCCCCACCCCCAAGGCAAGCAGGTATGGAGGCTGCAGGTGCCTCTGGCCCAGAGAGGAAGATGGGCTGCCAGGAACTGGCTCCTGGAGGGGGACACACAGTGGAGTGTTAGGAGTCATCTTCTGGGCACACAGGGTGGCCACAAAAGTCAACAAGCCCAAATAGTACAGATCTAGACCATGGAGATAAAAATACCCAACAGGATGGGTCCTACACTTCAGGCACTTGTGATTCTTGAGTATGTGTGTGAACAAAAGATAGTGTAATGCGTTAATGGTTTGTACTTAGCAGCCCATGGAGTCTTATTAATAATCTCCTTTACCCAAAGGAGCGAGTCATTGCAGTATAGCTTCCTAAATTGTCTTACGGTTTAGACTAAAATGGCATTATAACAACACCAACCTCAGAAGTGGTGTCTTTTCACTTAAAGGGTGAAGGATCCAGAATGAAGATTAGGCATGAGAGGGTGTGCTGGTGTGCTGGGCCTGCTGCCATGGCACCACACACACAGGGCTTATGCGGCAGCCCCGGGTCCTCATAGCCCCAGGCAGAGGTGCGAGATGCCATGTGGCTGGGCCACCTGGGCCCACAGCATGGTGGGCGTCCTGACCAGCTGTGGTTCTGGTGCCCCAGCCCCGAGTTAGCATCTTCAGGCCCTTCCCATAACTGCCACGAGCGCACTGATTTGTGCAGCTCGGGCGTCTCTCCATCATCCCGATCCAGAGGCTGCGTCAGCTGTCGGGTTTCTGGGGCTGGCACGGCCCCTGGGTTCAACAGTAGTGGCTTCTTCTGTCAAATGTTGTCCAAAAGCAGTTCGCTGGCGTACAGGCATGTGCCATGTTGTCACATGTGCTGAGCAGAGGCACCTGCCATCCTTGCTGACATGTTACATCTCATTTGCCAAGAATTGGGTGTTCCTTTTGCCAAGATTGCTTGTGGTGCCCACTCCCTGGCTTTTCTGACTAACTCTCATATCCTTTAATTTGGGATGAAACAGAACTCTAAAAATACTTGGGAAAACTTCTCTCTGATGTGACTCTTTCTTATCTACTGTCACAGCTACCTGCTGTCTGAAAGGGCAGGTGGAAGATTCCCCTCTCAGACCCTCCTGTTTCTGGGATATGCAACCAGCTAAGTGTAAGAAGTTAGGGTCTGTCCCTAATGTGACCCAGTCCCCTCCTTGGTGTCATTTTGACCCATTCTCTGTGGTCATCCTGGGACCAGCAGTGACATCTGGCTGGCATGAGATTTCCCACCTTGACATGATTGCTTAGCCTAGCGCCGTGTGTACTTTCTTCATTTTAGTAAGCTGTGGTTTTATTTTGAATAAGCCTCTTTTAACCTATTAATATTAGTCTACACTAAAATTAACCTCCCCCTGAATTATTCTCACACAAAAGAAGCAAAGTAATTTTGAAAGTTAAATCAAAACAAAGCAATCGTGTGTGTAAAACAGATAAAAATCATAGACTGTGGTTACAGGGTGCCTCTACAGGAATTGCTTACACAGAGCCGATTTCCTCCAGTCTGGTTATGGAAGGAGAACGGGAAATGGCCTGGCCCTATCACAGCCCCATTCTGGCAGCCGGGAGCTTGCAAACTTGTGTAAACAACCTCAAGGAGCAGGAAGCTCCCCTTGCAGCTGGCATCTGTGGGCAGCGTCTTGTCCAAGGGGATGCTTGTGCTCAGCCTGGCTGGTGGCTCCGTGGCAGCGCAATGGGTGCCTCCCTGCTGAGCAAGAAGGGGTTTCACGGAGAGCTTCTGACAGCCGAGGGCTACTCTCAGAGGTGGATTACTCGTTAGGGAAGTGACCAGGTGGACTGCAGACCTGAGCGGTGAAACGGGTTGTGGCTCCTGGTGCAGAGGTAGATGCTCTCTGTTACTGCCTTTGCCCCTGCCCAGAATTTACACCCTGCCCTCACTGTTCTGCAAAATGCGTTAGAACGCAAAGGTGGGCGCTCTGCAAGACCTCTAACTAATCTAGCAATTGCCTTTTGAACAGTTTCTCAGCTTGTCATAAGCATAGGGTGGTTGCTGTCAAAGAGGCCTTTTTTCTTTGTAATTGCTCTTTGTCCCCCACACAGGGAGGGTCGGGGTGGCTCCACCTGTGTGTGTGACCGTGGTCATAGCACTGAGCCAGCAGTGCCCGCATGGCAGAGCTGCCTGCCAGCAGCCAGAGGTGCAGTGGCACATCTGTGTACCACTTTATTTAGCTTCGTAGGGCAGATGAGCCCCAATCACTGGTTTCTCAAGTAAATTACTGCTACCAGAAGTTTACCCTTGGGGGGAGGCTGAAACATATTTGAATGTCAGTAACCTGGGTAGGAAGATAGTCACCCTGCATCTACCAAGCTCTTTCTTTCCTCCTGTCTGTCCCCTCCACGCCCACCTCTTCCCATGGGGCTCCAATTGCAGAGAATTGAGGTGGCTGTCCAGTGGTGGAGATGCTTGTTTTCCCGTGGTTAGTGCATCTCCTCCTGCTCAGGGCGGTCCTGGCCAGGGAGGGCATCGCCTATAAAGGGGCATGTGGTTTGTAGGGGGGCACGCCAAGATTCAGAGATTCTGAGTTCTCCAAACATTCTTTTGGTTGCTTTATTTTTCTCTCAAGAGAAAGATCATTTGGTATGCCTGCTCTTTGTGTGTGACTTCTTCCTTTGCAGAGAAGTGGAGAGGACTTCCTTCCCGGTCTAGGGAGGAGCAGGTGCACTCTCCCCAGGGTGCCTTCCAGCACTGTTCGAGTGGGATTGGTTGTGCACTTAAATATGGATGCCCCCTACCAGCCCCCCAGAAAATGGGGCTGAGAGACTAAGCAGCTTTCTTTTCGTTTCAGGTCTTTTTGAATAATTACCAAGCAGCCGAAGCGCATCCCCAAATGATTATCTTACGGCTTTTACGTTACATCGTCCGCCTGGTGTGGAGAATGCAGTGACGACAGGCTCCTCATGGAGTCAGGATGTGTGCAGACATTTCACTTGTTAAGACTGGCAAGCGCCAGCACCACAGTCTCGCTATGCAGCCAGTGGTCCTTTCCCAGAGGGTGAGCAGAGTGGCTGGCGATACACTCCTGAAGACACTGAGCTGCACATGAACTTGACCTTTCACCACACACGGCAGAATTTCTAATGGAAGTTTGTTGTGAATGTAAATGAGGAAAGATTCTATTTTTTTTTTTTTTAATGTACAGATCATGGTTCTTTGGAACAGGATTTTATGCAAAAATGGTGTTTACATGTGGTGTGGGTTTTTTTTCCACCTTCTTTAATAAGAACAGGTTTTTCAAAAGGAAATGGAAACTTTTTAACCAACTTGTGAATGATTTTTGTACTAAAATTTTGAGAACCTATTGCCTGCTCTCAGAGGATTATGTAAACTCTGTAGTGGAAACTGAGCCAGCTAGTTTATAAAGCTGCCTTAGTTTATTTTTAAAGGTTACTGTACAGAATTTTTAAATGGGAGAGGTATGATAGGGCCCCCTCCCTTCCCTGCCATTGTTCTTTGACTTTTTTTTTATCATTATTAATACCAAAAAAGTTTTTAAGAAATGGAACTGATTGATGGGGCAAAGGGTCTGTTGGCAGCCTGTATTGATACGCCACTCCCATTTTGTAAATATTTTCATACCTCCTCAAATTCAGTTGCATCTGTGGCAAAACTTCAGACTGTTTTGTGTTTTTCCTTATCTCCTCTTGAGATGGCTCCTCTAGTCTGGAAGCTGATGCAAGAACTTGGTCCAGCGTATTTTCTTGATGAAAGGTAACGGGGTTAGAACATGAGATGGTATCTGCCTGTATCTGCATAGCTCGCTCGCTTGGTCTGGCTGTAGCTCACTAAATGGGAATTGCTTGCCATGAATTTCCTTCTGGCCTCAACGGGCCTGTCATTCAGAAGCATTCTGAAGAGCTAATGGCTGTCATAGCGTAGACGAAGGGTTATGTCCCTTTGCACCGTTGGCTCTCTGGACACAGGCTGTCCTGCAGTCACAGAATGCCCTCAGCATAAGAGCCCCCGGTGGTTAACATGCCTGCTGCGGCTGAGTCCTCCTGCAGGTGTCCAAGCTTCAGCCCTGGGGGAATTGGCGTGGGCCAGGGGCAGGGCTTGGGATGGCTATTTCCTGGGCATCCTGGCTTCTTGACCAAGTCAGAGTTCCTCTGGCCTCTGGTGCCTGGCACTAGGTTCCCGCTCCTCCAAATCCGCTTTGCAGTAAAGGCTTTGCTTTGCTTTCAGCAGTGCCATAGAAAGCCTCGATTGGGCCCAAGTCTGACATGGTGCCTCAGCCTCTGACAGGTGTTGATTTTCCTTGTCCCGTTTCTCTTGGGACAGTTGGGTTTTGTCAGGCCACCCTTTGTTCGGATGAGCACCTCTGCTGCCTGTGGAGGTCGTCATGAGGGAGAGACATGAGTTGGCCAGTCATTGCAAAGGTAGACACCTGGGGAGACCCAAAAAAGGGTTTAGGGGGCAGCAAAAGGAGAGGTGGAGGTCACTCCATGGACCCTGTATCTCACACTGTTACATTAAGTGGAAAAATCCATTCATTTGTATCTTCATAAGTTTATATAAATATATATATATACATATATGTATATATTGCATATACACCTTTTCCTTTAGGTAGAGATACTTGATTCCAAATACTCTTCCTTTTTAAAAATGTCCTTTTCCCCAAATATCTTGTTGGGGTCTTGCATATTTTTAAAGCTGTGTTGAGTCTCACTTGTGTTCTTGACCTATCTTGCACCCCTTTTTCAGGTCCTAAAGGCTACACGGTTGTAAGGTGGTGACAGGATGCAGCCGTGGACCTGCTAGGCACACACCAAAGACATATTTGGTTCTGGGCCCCTCCTTCCCAGGACCTCTGTGCCCAGCACCAGCTTCTGTGACTGGAGCACTTTATTCTTTCAATACTGCGGCTCCCTGGGAATGGTGCCTGAGAGCTGTGCTCCTCCCACATGAGCAAATTTCCCTCTGGCTTGGCGGCATGCAGGCCTCCCGGCCAGCTGTGAAAGCAGCTCGTGGGGAAATGAGAGATGCTATGAATTGTAGAAGTACTAGACAGTGGGATCTTGCACCAGAACTTAAGAGCGATGGCTGGATGTCTCTACTGTACTGAGCTGTTTATCAAGATGCCTCCCTGCAGAAAGGTTACTGACTGTAGTATACCTTTTACTTTTCCCTTCTTTACCTTTTTATAGAAAAATACAGCAGATCCTTTTTCTTAAAACTTAATGCGGGTTTTGTGCCTTGACTGCCTCTTACATGAGGTTTGTAGAAAGTGTCCTGTGACTTTTCACAGAAATGCAATAAAACACAAATTATCATGAGCGATTCTTCAGATTATCTATGTTCCTGCCTAGAGATAGATTTATCAATTTTTTTTCTTTTTTGTTTGTGGAGAACCCAGGTAAAAATTCATAAGGATTAAAAAAGTATACACAGTAGAAAACAGCTTTCTCCTGTTTCCTCTTCTTGATGTTGTATATATTTTGACTATTTATTAGATTAGGAAGTCATATTTTACTTATCAACTGAGCCAAATGTCTGTGTGCAATTGTGGTTTCTTTTATCTTTCTTGTAAAATTTTGTACAGCATGAGTGAGTAAAAGTCACTGTTTTTACTTTCTCAGATTTGAGGATTGTAAATATTGTAGATTCTTTTTCTGTGTAATGTGTCCTACTGTTTCATAATGCTGTAACCTGTAGAAATATTGTATATTTATTTCCTGCTTATTTAATGTCTGAAATTCAGAAAAGTATTGACCTCCCCGACCCCTTCCCCTGCCTTCCCAATAATTGCTTTATTTCCGAGGTGGTGACTAGTCAGCTCACTGCAGCCTTCCCAGGGTGGCCCTGCAGCTTTGGATGCTGGTATTTCTGGTCAGATGTGGTTAAGTTCTTGAGACTCGCTATCTTTAGGTGAAGTTTTTATTTGGACACCAGTGAGAGTCCCTAAATCTGGAAGGCGACAGAATTCTGCTCTAAGAAATGCCCAATGACTCTGTATGTTCCAAAAGAGCTAGTGGCTCAGAGAGGCAAATCCTATGAACTATATAGGCTGTTATCTTTTTTCTTTTTTAATGCATTGGGACAGATCTTCCCATTGACAATTTATCCCTGACAACTCAGTGTTCAGAAAAATAAAACCATGTCCCTCCTAGATGTGCTACTACAAGACTGTCCAGGACAAGGGCCAGGCGAGATGGAGGGACAGCTGGGACAGGTCGCCCTGCCTCATTCAAGAGCAACATCAGAACCACCTCGCTGCCACCCCTTGTCGGCAACTGATACGCAGTTGCATTTCCCCCACTGCTGTGCTGGGAGGCATGGACTAAGTTGTCTTCAGGGGCTAGTTGTACAGCCCCCTAGCCCTGAACCATTTGGTCCCCGCGTTTGGTCAGCCTTGCTTTCTCAGGCTGATGGCTTCCTTCCACTCCTTCATGGCCTTCAAGAGAAGTTGGGGGCCCCGCTAGACTGGGTGTAAAGATGTGAAAGCTTGTGGAAGCTTTAGAGGCTTCTGAGTGCCTCTGTGTTGCTGGTTCTGTTGTCCCTGCTGAGTTAGCTTGGTGCCTATGTGTGTCTACTGCACATGCACGTGTGCAGGCATGTGTCCACACGTGACGCTAAACCAGCTGGGGTAACTCCTGCTCTCCCAGGGGCATGGTGTGCAAGAAGCATCCAAAGCTCCCACCTTAGTGAGTTGACTACTTTTCCTTGGAATCTGATTTTAGAAACTCTTACTCCTACATTGTATGTCCAGGTTCTGTGACCACTAGTTACTGTATCAACTCATCAGGTACACCTTTATAAATAGCACTGACCTGTCTGCATACTGACCCATCACTAACCTGTTCCCTAGAGCCCAGCGTATGTAGCATTTGTACCGCAGTTTCCCTGGCTTACTTGTGTTTTGCACTGATGAACTTTGACAGGGGTAATTGCCACTTTACTTGTGCAATATACTGCTGTAAATAGCTGCAGATTTTTTTTTAAGAGACTCAATCTTTTATGTTCTTGACGAATTTATATAAATAAAACTTTCAACTAGTTTTGGTGAGCTGTTTGATTTGTTTCACAAGGTGGTGGAGAAGCAGCTGAATTAGGTATGAATGTTTACACGCCCACATGTCTCCTTACCAGTCATATGCATTACCTATGCATAGAACTTTATGAATTCTTACTTGAAGATAGTTCTGTGCAGTGTACTTAAAAAGCAAACCACTCTTGAAAGTTTTGAAGTGGCTGGCAAGACCAGCTGCTAAGGGCCCTGCCCACGGAGTCAGATATGACTCAGCACCTGGGAGGGGGTATTGGAAGACAATGCTGAACTGTATCCATAAGTGGTTCTGGCAGATACCCTGCCACCCATTCCTGTCTCACAGTTTGGAGAAAACACAAAAGATGGGAAGTCTGGCTTGACTACTAGAATGAGCCTGGTCTGCCGCTCCTGAGTCTGACCTCCAAACCGAGGGAACCACCAAGTGCCTGGCCACCTCATGCAGTGTCCACTGAGGTCAGGGGGCCTGTGCTGCACAGGAGCCCCGAACTGGTTTGGGGATGATGGAGAAATTAAAGCCTGGTTGGGGGTGTAGCTAATAAAATTCTAAAGAAATAGTTTCATAATCTGTCACTTTTGTGCTGGTAAAGTTTAACTGTGGCTCAGCTTTGTTTTAAACTGGTAAACTATTAGGGCTTTTCATTGTAGTTAGGCAAGCAATATGTGAATATGGTCTTGTAATTTTAAGTACACATACATAACACTGATCTATTTCAGATCATATTTATTTCAGATCAAGGCGTTCTGACTCCCATTCCCAATCGTACTTCACCAACCCAGGAGTTGAATTTTTCCAGATCCTTTTCTCTGCTGTGTGTGTTGTTTATTTTTAGAGTGGTTTTGCTTTTTTCTGTAAATACTGGAACCCTGTGGTTCTGACTAAGCAGTAGGTCCTGGAGACCCATTTTAACCATTGCATCAGGTGCACACAGGTGCAAGCGCTGGCTGCCTGGCATTTCTGCCTCCAGTGCTGCCAAGTGCTGCCTGGTCCGCTACTTGCCAGCATGTGGGAGAGCAGCTTGGTTGTGGAACCTGGAGGTGGGCTATTGGCTTCAGCCAACCTTCAGACACTGCTCCAAGTCACCCACTGGCTGCATTTGAGGGTGCCCACTTACCCCTCTCACTCTGCCAAGTGTTTGCACATTGATCAACCAGCCTGGGGGTGAAGAGTGGTTTTGCTGGTGTAATTCATATTTTTTCTATGCACGAGTAGGGTGATCTTGTCAGATATTGTTGCCATGTGCCTGTTTGCTAAAGACTTTTGCTTCCTTTCAGTTGGGTTTTTCATTTTTTCCATTGATGAACTCTTTATATATTATGGGTGAAAGTCTCTTACATGTTGGAAATTTTTTCCCTTTAGTCTGTTGCTTTTTTTCCAACATTTTATTTTGAAAATTTTCAAACAAAATTGAGAATCATACAGAGAACACCCATATACCCACCACCCTGATTCTGCCTATCACATTTTACTATCCTTGCATTGTCCTCTATCTACCTACCCATCTGTTCCTCTCTCTTACTTTTTGATGCCTTTCAAAGTAAATCGTAGTAATTGGTATCCTTATCTGTAAATACATCAGCATGTGTATTGTTGATTTTTTCTTTTGAGATAGAACGTTCACACAATAAGACATACAACTCTTAATGTGTGCATTTGCTAAATTTTTTTTTTGTAATACAAAATGGGTTCTTTATTATTTATACAAAACTTACACATTAAAAAAAATTAAGATTCAACAACTCTGCTGACCCCCTGAGGAAGCTTAAGAGCTTTTATGGATCCATCAAAGAGCCCCAAGTGAACGTTGCAGTCACCAACCTCACCAACCTCCTGGCCACAGGAACAAGGTGTACTCCTCCATGGCCATTCACATTGCACCTCTACTGGCTCTGAAAGCCAAGACTCCTTTCACCAGGCTCAACAAGCAAGCCAGGTTTCCTGGACAAACATTAAAGACCACTACCTTCTCTGGCCCAAACTTAGTGTGTTTTTGTCAGTATACAAGTTGATTTTTATTTGTTTCTTAAAACACCTTCAATAAACTCCTAGCATAAGAAGCCTTTATTACAACATATACAGATTTGATTCAGTTCTTTACAAAAAACTACCTAGATTTTCCAGCTAAGTAAATTTAAGTCTTTTAAAAAATTTAAGTTGGCTTAAGGAATGCATTTGCTAAATTTTGACCAAGGATACAACGGTCACCCAAAAAAACCCTATCAAGAAAAAGAACATTACCATCACTCCAGAAATTTCCCTCATGCTCCTTCCCAGGGGTGATCTCTGTTCTGATTTTTTTGCACAAATTAGTTTGTGTGGGTAATGTGAATGCGATCACTCACTGTGTGGTCTTTTGTGCTTAGCGTTCTTTTTTGCCGAGCATAATGTTTTTGAGCCGTGTCACATCATCAATAACTTCCTTCTTGTTGCCAAGTAGTATTTGACTGTATGAACAGACCACGCTTTGACCATTGCCTCCTGAGGAACGCCTGAGCACCTATCAGCTTGGGGCTGGGAGGAATAAAGCTGCTGAGAATGTTCCTGTTCATGCCTTTTTGTGAATATGTGTTTTATTCCACTGCATGTCTTTCAACACTTGATGTAGTTGTCACTATTTTAGAGGTTAGATTCAATCAATCCTACATTTACTTAGGTTTCTGTACTTTGTATCTAAAGAGACCTTCCTATGCCAAAGTTTTACATCTGTTTTCCTATGTTTTATTCCTATACCCCTGTAGTTTTTTAAAAATCTTTAACCCACCTAGAATTCATTTTTTTAATAACGTGATATGACTCTAACTTAATTTTTTCTACCCCCACACACAGCCAAAACTTCTCTTTTCCCCACCAGAGCCCGAAAAGTCTCTTTGATATCCACCAAATTCTCATCTGTGTGCTTCTGTTCGTCAGTTTTTCCCCTTGCCATTGAACTTTCTGTTTAATCCACACTATTCTGATTATGATGGTTTTATGTTTCAAATTTCTTGTCTTTATTTTTCAAGATCATCATGGCCATTCCACATTTTCTCTTAAATGTACATTTTAGAATCAGTTTAAGCTTCTTGAAGAGTTTGTGGGTGGCTTGCTTGGAATGGCAATGACTATATATTGATTGAGGGGAGCATTGCCATTTTCCCACATATTTTCCAGGGTGGGTAGTATTTTTCTCTGTCTAGTAGGCTTGTCTTTTTATGCTTTTAGTACACTTGATTTTCCTTCCAATATATCCTGCTCATTTCTTGAAAGCTTTTCTCTTAGGGAAAGACGGGGGCTATCCAGGATTTTTTCTGCCTTTCTCAGTTCCACCACAATTTCCCTTTGTACGCCTATTTCCCAACTTCCCTTCTCTTCCTGCCCCTGTACAGCTGTGGGCAGTCCCATGGCCTAAGCTTGGCCAACCCAATGTTTTTTCCCAGCACTTTGAATCTGGAGTAAGTGGGGTAAGGAGGGGGGCCATGTGTAGGGAGGCCAGTGTCCTTGAGGCCACAGAGTCGCCGGAGCTCCCTGGCCACGGTGCTCTGCGCCTGGCCAGCAGCAGGCGGGGCCCAGTCTCCCAGCACCCTGTGTGTTCTGTGAGCTCCGCCCCTGCCCCTCTGTGTGCCATGTTAGCCAGAACTGGTTTCTGTTGCTGGCGGTCATAAGTGCTGACTCATTCCTATCTGTCAGGAAGGACTGAATAAAAAGGTGGTAAGGAGTTCTCTGTAAGCACTGCGAATTCAGAAGGGGTGAGGTGATGGGCTGATCGTTAAAAGTCTGCGTTGGGTGAGATCAGAATAGGTGTGTGGCAAGATGGAAAACACCAAGGCGGTCTTCAGTCTTGACCCGGACCATGGGGTCTCCCTTCCTGAGAGCTTCTTCCTGAGGTGAGCCCTAAGCCCTTTGTAGAATTTATTACCAAGGAGTAGAGAGAGTGTTGAGGCCTGTTTCTAGCATGTTCGCCCATATAGTACATGCATTCCTGCAAGGGACTCAGGAAGGCCAGATCAGAGTAACTGCTAGCCTTGTCTTCTCAATGCAGGTTTGGGGAGAATTAGCTCTATAATAATGCTTTTTCTACCGACTCATAAGAGCATAAGATCAAACTTGTATAACCACTCTCCAATACATCCTCAAGATGCCATGTTCCACTGGAGGGCCATCTTCCGGCCTTGGAACATCACAGTGCTTATACAACCTCATTAATTTTTTATAGTTTTTGTTTTCCTAAGAAATTCATTCATTCGATCCAAGTATACATTAAGACCCTACCATGCCCCAGGCACAGGTGAAAATATAAAAATGCTTAAAACCAGGACATGTTAGGATAGGAGGCTGTTGCTCAAGGTTGCAGGACTGGTGAACAGAAAGAACAGAAAATACTCTAGGGGAGGTGTTTCCCGAGCTGTGAGAAGGGAGCGCCAGAGGTCTGAGCCCCACTGATGTCCTGCCTGCCTACACCTGGCCCCAGAGCCCCCGTCCTGACTCTGTCATGACAAATAGCCATTGGCACCCTGTTCAAGGCATCATCACAGAGCAAACAGCCCTTTAAAGAAGCAGCCATTACTACCCCAAGTGTCCAGATGGGAAGTGAGTCATTATGCTGCTTGCCTAGCATCTCCAAGCTTGCTGGTGGCAGGGCAGGGGCGTGAAGTCACCCAGTGTGGCTCTGCCACGGCTCCTCTGTACAGCTGTCCCCCACCGCACACAAACACCCCTCTCAGGTCCCAGCAGAGCTGGGGCTGGGGCCAGGCAGGGTCTGCCCCCGATGGGATGCCAGCGGGGCTGCTGTGCCTTGATAGTTTAAGCATTCTGCAGATTCATAACATTCTGGCCTGGCCCAAATCTACCTCTGGGGTACCCGGGGGTGGACGCAGTAAGCGCCCGGCCTCACTTGCTTCTGTGGCCAGCAGGGTGTTTCAGCTCCACCAGTGGCTCACTTCCCCTGGGGGGCCTCCTCCTGCCCTTCTGGCCTCAGATCTACTTCGACTCTTGGGAACCCTGCCTGAGGTCCC